TATCAAAATCGCTTACGCCATTTTAATAGTACATTAAAAACGTACGTTCGAAAACTTAAATAAAAACCATGTTTAATGTATGTACGTTGCTATCGTTAAAAAATACATCGGAAACTAAGGATAAATGTGGGTCACTAGTTTGATACTTCTGACATCGGGCCGCGAGTTTGATTTTGTAGTAGGAAGAAAATATATATTTATGTATATTTTGCCATATGTGTATTTTGCGGCCCGCCAATACAGCCGACTGAGGAGCATTGCACTGCGCTGCTACTAGGTGCAAGGTAGTTGGCAACTTTGGTGAGATACCTATCTATCTAAACAATCAAAGTAGAGAAGTAAGTATGTTTAGTAGGGCAAAGATAGGTAGAGAAAAAAGGATAAGCTTATTACTTTCAAAAATACTTACATCGAAATGATTTTCACAACAGTGCGCTTTAGTTTTAGGGCCTATTGAATCGACTCTTTTTACGGCTGTCATCCACTTTTTCCTCATTTTTGTGTGTGAGTGTTTTAACTATTCAATTGAAGCACTGAGGCACAATACAGTATTTTTTTTCCATTTTTACCACAGAGAACTTTAAAATTCAGATTTTTACTCCGTAGCGGCGTGCAAATGAGAGCGCGCGATTGTGGTATGAGCGGGGGTGTGACGTCAACGGCTAGTGAGTGCCCGCCCGCATTTTAAAACTTCTTCGTTCGGAAACACGCACTTTGATCGTTAATATCTCAGCCAATTTTTAAGTTATAAAAAATTAAAAACACAAAATTTTTTCTCTTATTGTTTTGTACATTTATTTGGCATGTAAAGTGAAAAACGTTTGTCAGAACCATTCACGTGACCACTTACTTGTTTTTATAAAGCGTGACAACTGCAGGGTTAAGAAATAGTCCCGTTACACGTATTTAGCTGTCATGTTATTCGTTTATTCGAATTTCTTTTTATGCACTGTTGGTTGAAATTGCTAAACATAAATGAAATAATCTCGTATGGAGTGCGTTTGCACTTTTCTGTTTAAATTTAAATCTTATTTGTAACGAACGAAGGTTTAAATTGTTTAAAATAACAAATAGTCTCTACGGTTTTCACTACGATTTTTATGAAATATTACGCACTCGATTATCTAATCGGTAATGTTTTCGATTATTATTTAAGTATTATTTTAAATTACTTTAATAGTAATAATTAAAAATTAAAAATTTTGTATAACCAACTTCAATATAAATTATTAAGAAAACTAACTCAAAAACTATTGGCCAAACCTTGATCAAATTTATATGAGTAGCACCAGCTTTCAAATAAAAAAAGAGTCATCGAAATCGGTTTACCCAGAAAAAAGGTATGAGGTAACACACATAAAAATCATACAGTCGAATTGAGTACCGTCTCCTTTTTGAAGTCGGTGGAAAAAGCATGTATCGCAATAAAAATACTTTAATTTTTTTAATTATATGGAATATAATTCCATCTTTTTGTAAATTTTAAGTATTTGGCTTCTTTATGCATACGTTAACCGCACAGATCGGCATTTTTCAAAGAGCACCTATTTCGGCGGAAACGATTCTTGTAATAATATAATCGATTCTGTAAACAGTTTTTATAAACGCACAAGATTTTTAAATCCAATACTTTGGCAGAGGGGAATAATCATACGGGGCGAGTCCATTGCGTTAAATGGTCTAAGCAATATAATAGGTTGGAGAAAAAGTTTCTTCGTATTTTGCTTATATAAAAGTTGAAGAAAAATCTTTTTTGTTGTACTGTTTGTATCTGGCTGGTTTTAATTTCAATATATATGTATTGGACATTAAGAAAAATAAAAATAAAAAGTAATAAACACTGTGAAACACAAAAAGGAGCAAGATCGACATATTAGTAGTTACGACATAGCCGAGGAATTGAGGATTGACCACAAAACAGTTTTAACCCTGTTTAAAAAAGTCTGGCTATACAAAAAAGCTTTATAATTGGATACCCAGCTCACTAAAAGAAACCCAATGAATCGTGTGCCCATTAGCGATTCTCTATTGAAACGTAAAGAACCATTTAAACATTGATCACTGGTGATGGAAAGTGGATCACTAACGACAAGAACGTGCGAAAAATATCAGGGTCAAAGGGTAGTCAAGCTCCACAGATTATAGCGAAACTTGATTAACACGCATTTAGGTGATGCTGTGTGTATTGTGGGATTGGAAGGGCATCGTTTGTTATGAGCTTTTACCGCCGGGCAAAACCATTGATTCGGATCTCTACTGCCAACAACTAATTAGACTTGACTGACAAAAACCAGCTGGTATTAATCAATAGAAAAGGAGTAGTTTTTCATCATGATAACGCCAGACCACAGTCATCTTTGGTCACCCGGCAAAAATTGAGAAAGCTTGCTTCCCTCAATTCATGTCTTAATTAACAAAGTAAATATTTATGAGGTAACACATAAAAAAACAAAAAAAATAACAGTCGAATTGAGTACCGTCTCCTTTATGGAAGTCGGCAGAAAAGTAAATCCAAGACGGCGGCTGCAATAGGTATCATTTTTTTCATCATGGGTGCCATTTTTATTCGTTTCGAGGGTGTTGAAGCCGATAGTGCTGTCGAAATGTAAATCCAAGGTGGCAGCTGCAATAGGTATCAATTTATTCGTCATGGGTGTCATTTTCATGGTTTTCGAGGGTGTTGAAGCCGATAGTGCTGTCGAAATGTAAATCCAAGATGGCGGCTGCTATAGGTATCAATTTATTCGTCATGGGTGTCATTTTCATGGTTTTTGAGTATGTTGAAGTCGATAGTGCTGTTGAAATGTAAATCCAAGATGACGGCTGCAATAGGTATCAATTTATTCGTTATGGGTGTCATTTTCGTGGTTTTCGAGGGTGTTGAAGCCGATAGTGCTGTTGAAATGTAAATCCAAGATGACGGCTGCAATAGGTATCAATTTATTCGTTATGGGTGTCATTTTCATGGTTTTCGAGGGTGTTGAAGCCGATAGTGCTGTCGAAATGTAAATTCAAGATGGCGGCTGCAATAGGTATCAATTTATTCGTCATGGGTGTCATTTTCATGATTTTCGAGGGTGTTGAAGCCGATAGTGCTGTCGAAATGTAAATCCAAGATGGCGGCTGCAATAGGTATCAATTTTTTGTCATGGGTGTCATTTTCATGGTTTTCGAGGGTGTTGAAGCCGATAGTGCTGTCGAAATGTAAATCCAAGATGGCGGCTACAATAGGTATCAATTTTTTGTCATGGGTGTTATTTTCATGGTTTTCGAGGGTGTTGAAGCCGATAGTGCTGTCGAAATGTAAATCCAAGATGGCGGCTGCAACAGGTATCAATTTTTTCGTCAAGGGGTGTCATTTTCATAGTTTTTGAGTATGTTGAAGTCGATAGTGCTGTTGAAATGTAAATCCAAGATGAAGGCTGCAATAGGTATCACTTTCTTCGTTATGGGTATCATTTTCATGGTTTTCGAGGGTGTTGAAGCCGATAGTGCTGTCGAAATGTAAATCCAAGATGGTGGCTGCAATAGGTATCAATTTATTCGTTATGGGTGTCATTTTCATGGTTTTCGAGGGTGTTGAAGCCGATAGTGCTGTCGAAATGTAAATCCAAGATGGCGGCTGCAATAGGTATCAATTTTTTGTCACGGGTGTCATTTTCATGGTTTTCGAGGGTGTTGAAGCCGATAGTGCTGTCGAAATGTAAATCCAAGATGGCGGCTGCAATAGGTATCAATTTTTTCGTAATGGGTGTCATTTTCATAGTTTTTGAGGGTGTTGAAACCGATTTTTCGTTGTTGATTTAAAAAAGAACACATAATCTGCAAAGTAGCTGATCTAATTTACAAAAAATACACAAAATCGATTTCATAGTACCCTGTCCTTGTTTCCCAACAGTTTATTAAAAAAAAAAACCTGTTCATTAGAATGATAATTTTTTACACAATTAAATTCAATAATAAAGAATTCCGATCTTGTTGTAGCAGACGAAAATATTTTTTTTCTGTAAATAATTTGTAATAATGAAGAATAAATGTACGTTTTCGTCCAACCGCGGCTCGCGTACGCTCTTGCCGAAACTTGTAAAAGGATAATTAAATTGTTTTCCGTGTTTAAACTATCGTCTTTTGCTGAGATTACCCAACGCCATGAGATTACCTATTTAAATTGTATTTGTAAGCCAGTTATTTAAATTCGATTGATTGATCACTACAGAACAAAAATACAAAAAAAAAGCAATATCAAAAACATTAAAAGTTACAACCCTATTGCTTCAATGGAGCGTAGGTAATTATGTCCTCAACTAGGCTTTGTTTCCATACTGTTCATATTTATACTGTGACGACAGTGATGACTTTACACCTCGAGCGTACAAAGTATTGGGAGTTTGAAAAACCGCTTTGAACTTCTGGTAGTAATAAGTTCAGTGTTACTTAATTTACTGACGTGGAACAAAAACTAATGTTTTGTACGTAAAATAAGCTATTATGTTTGTTATTTTATTTTATTTGTAATTTTTAACATTTTCATCAGTATGTTTTCTTTGGACAAATATTCGACCATAGAGTTGAATGGAAAATGACAACACCAATGACCAATTTGTGGTAATTTATCCGCTAGGTGACGCTAGGTATTTTCTTCTTCCCGTCATTTCTCAGCCTAGTTTTACTTTTTACTTTTGTTGGTAGTTGGACATAAAATTTATTCTTGTAATGGCTGCCACGCTAAAACTGTAGCTTATTGGTTATGTCATGTTCAAATTTTTAGTATATGTATGCGTTACTCGAATAAATCAACAAGTGTTTCGAACAATGATCGCATGAAAGTTGTTTTAGTATCAATCTCCCTGGAACGTTTCTTCTTTCATGTTTCCTTTTTTGGCAATTAAGTTATGGACTCGGCGTTTGTGTATTATATTTATTAAAAACATAATCTATGCTTCGTAAAAAGTGTACATAGGGACCATATTGAGTGTAAAGTGATTTGCCAGTTGTTAAAAATGACGGATCCACGATCGTCATCAGCTCTTTTTAAGAGAGCCGAGCAGTTGAAGAGATGGGAGGAATCCGACACCAACAAACAGTCACCGTTGCCAAAGCGCGCTTCAAGGATCCAATTTTCATCCGGTATCGTATTCCTGGCGGCGTGTACGGCTGGTGACAAGGACGAAGTACAGCGTCTGTTGAAAATGGGCGCCGATATCAATACAGCGAACGTGGATGGCCTCACAGCTCTGCATCAGGTGAATACACTTATTACTCATATACATAGCTATGTTAACCAGGTAACCTTATAAATTTTATAGAATTATAATCTTTTATGGAATATTCGGTTATTTGTTCTGCAATATTATATTTGTAAAATTATGTGATGTTGTTCTTGGCATCTAGATATCTTAACAAATAGATAATTTATAAATATAATTGTCAGTAAAATGTCATCTCAAACCAAGTAGTGAAATGAAAAACTATTCACAAATTTTTAAATAACTTACACACAGTATGTACAATTTTTTCAGTAGTAGTCTTAAACTATCATGATTATACTGTTATATTTCTGCTTAGAAAATTTTTGTAATGTAATGTAATTTATTTATCATATATTCAGTAAATACATTTGATGAACGTTATTTAAGTATTCAACTTACCAGAATGATTATAGAGATCATTTTACAATGTTTTCTCAATTTAGCACAATTTTGGTAGACTATCTTCTATAAAGCAGTTAAATTGATTTTTCTGAAAGTAGTCAATATTATTAAGATATACATAACATGCGCTTATATGTGGATTCAAATATTTTAATTTTTTTTAATAAATTATTTTAAATTTCTCATACAAAACGGCTATTTCATAGATAAGTACCTGATATATTTTCCTGAATAGCCAATTTAATTCATTCATTGTCCATTGATATCAAACTTTAACAATATCTCGGTACACAAAAAGGTTATGATAATCTTTTAGCCAACCATTTAAAAGTATTAGATTACTAATCAACTAGGTTTGATCTGTCCCTGATTTTCTAGAGAAGTTTGAACAACATCAGTAATGATGAGCAAATATTAACATTCCCTTTACAATACTTTAATGTAGCAAACATTACCTTACTATAATAAATGTAGAAAATATAAATATATCTGAACATAGAACAGAGAAACAATGGAAGGTGGTGGAACCGTGTTGGTGGTGGAGACTTTTACCAAAATGTATATTGAACTAACAGACATTCTTTATTTACTCAAAGATATTGCAAATATATAATAAATAGATAGAGAGAGCACAATGTGCACTCCTCAAAGCAGGTGCTGGTCTCCCTTTCCATTTTCCTACAGACAAGTAGTATAAAAAATGAGATGTGCTAATGGCTAGACAAACTTTCATTCTGCATATTGTGCTTAAACAACACTCATCTTTGTTATAACCCAGATCTTCTTAAGTATAAAAGCCACAATGATATAATATGCAAAACTCAAACTTTCAAATCAGCTCTTTCACATAAGTTTTTCTGCTTCTTGGGACCCTTCAAATTAAATAAAATTTTAGACATATATCCCAAAAATAAATCTAGTTGTAAAATAACATTGAGAAAATTCCTAAAAACCCTTAACTACCAAGAAACTGAGAATCTCCTTTTGACCCAACACTAATACTTTTAATTTACTCAAACCCATAATTCACTCTTATCGATTGAATTATTACAAGAGTAGTAATACTAATACCGAGCTTATCTTATTTTTACAGTGATGAAACAGTTGTGTTTATCTTAAAATCACACATTTATGTAGGTATATTTTGGGATTCTGCATAGGAAACTGCTTCCAGAATAGTAAATGATTCTCCCAAAAACTGAGCACTTGAAGGGACATTTAGAACTTAAAATAATTTTATATTTATCCATCCATACTGCGGGTCCAGCTCTAGCATTATCATCTCCTTTAAAGCATCTACAGTCCCTGGCCAAATTTTTAGACGCACTGTAGTTTTTTTAATAATTACATATTCTGCACGAGTTTATATGCAATACATTTATATTTAAATATATATGATATATATTTATTATTATCATGATATATCATGATATATATTATTGAATATACATTTATATTTAAATATATATTCAGGAGGTGTTTTATATATTTCCTATTTGTATTTATTTTAAATGTATTGCATTACAATGATAACCAAATGACACACGAACGTAAACAAGTACAAATCTGTTTCAGTCGCGTTCTCGCGTGCTTTAGTTGTGGACGTGTTTCTGTGGCTTTATGCGCTGTGTTTATTTGTTTCGCTTTTTTACACCACGCAGTTATTTGTTCATTTAGTGTACAGTGGTCAAATAATCAATTGAAGCATTTTAATCATGGGTAAAAAAGGTGATCTTTCACCACGTAAAAAAGCTGAAGTAAATGCTAAATTATTTTCTAACCGCGAAATATCGCGGAGATTGAAGATTTCTGAAGCTAGTGTACGACGCATAAAGGAGAAAATTGAGTCAGGAGACAAATTGAGCCAGAAACGAAAGAAAAGATGCGGCAGAAAGCCTATTTTTACTCCAAGGACAGAAAGATGTTCAAAGAAAATTTGTCTGGAAAACAGATTTGCAAGCACAAAACTGATAAAATTGCAACTCCAAGATGCTAATGTGGATGTTTCTGAGCGCACTGTTCGAAGAAAATTAAAAGATTTAGATTTTAGGACCTGCCTTCCCGCCAGGAAGCCCAAGTTAACAGCTGTAATGAAAGCAAAGCGTCTGAAGTGGGCCAAACAGTGGCGAGATAAAGATGAGAACTTTTTTTTTTTTTTTTTTTTATAGGAGAGGGGGCAAACGAGCATGCGGCTCACCTGATGGTAAGTGACTACCGCCGCCCATGAACAACCGCAACACCAGGGGAATTGCAGATGCGTTGCCGGCCTTTTAAAAAGGAGTAGGCTCTTTTCTTGAAGATCCCTAAGTCGTATCGGTCCGGAAAAATCGCTGGTGGTAAACTATTCCACAAAGAAGTTGTGCGAGGAAGAAAACATCTTCTAAATCTTCTGGAGATCGGTAAGTTAGTATAATTTTATCACAAATTATACATTTAATATCATTTTCTATGAAATAAAGTAAAACCAGCACAGATGTTTAGGATGTTTATTAATTTTTGCTATTCTTAACAGGTCTGCTTCAGCGATGAAAGCACGTTTGAAATTTTGCAGAATAAAGCTCTGTTTGTGCGTCGTCGTCATGGAGAAAAGTTTCATCCTGACTGTGTCATTCAGACTGTTAAGCACCCTACAAAAGTGATGATCTGGTCAGTCATCAGTGGCAAGGGAACTGGACGTCTGTACGTGGTAAAAGGTATAATGAGGCAGGATCAGTATAAAGAAGTCTTACAAAATCGATTGATTCCGCAGCTCAGAGAATGGTTTCCGAATGGGGAGCCATTCAGTTTTATGCAAGATGGAGCTCCCTGTCACACAGCATGATCTATTAAAGCTTTTTTGAAAGAGCAAAATATCCCTCTGTTGGATTGGCCGGGTAACAGTCCCGATATGAATCCTATTGAAAACGTATGGGGGCTGATGAAGAGAGAAGTGGCTAAAGATGTCATCACAAACAAAACTCAACTCTTAGAAAAGATTATTCATGTGTGGAATCATCATCCTCAAATGCAGGAGACAGTACAGTCTAACATTGATAGCATGCCGCGCAGAATTGAAGCTTTCTAGCGGCTAAAGGTGGCTCAACAAAATATTAACATTTTATTGCATTCATTCAAATGTTTTTCAAGAGTTCATAAATACATATTTTTTTTAATAATTATGATGTTTTATTTGTGTTAAAAATAGATAATAAGGTGGATAATAATAAAATATACATTATATATATTAAAAACAATAAAGCCGTATAGTATCACCTGATAATTAAGATTTTACATAGAATCATATAGTGCGTCTAATAATTTGGCCAGGGACTGTATAAATATAATAAGAATGTTACAATTAAACAATTTCATTGATCCTTGTTAACACCCAGGTTCTGGATCACATTAGATTGGAAAACAATGTTGAAAAGAAATAGAAACAACGGATGTTAAATAAATTAAGAATAGGATTTGAAGCAGTTTAAACGCACTCACATTTAAAATTTGAAGGAAGGTCATTTTGAATGGCTAGAAGAATTTTCAAAAGCAAAAAAGAGAATGTAAAACAAGCATCAAAGGATGAGAAGCAATCTGTATTACATTATAAAAAAAATATATTACCAAAGAACTACCTATGTAAGAATAACTAGGGTCGATTTCATAGGCCTGTAATATTATTCAAGCACTTTGTTGCTATCCTGTCAATTTGTATAAGGCAATTTTACTGCAAGGTTCTATTATAAATCCAGCATAGTCAAAGTGGCTGCAAATTGTTGCATTGTACATATTTTTTTTGGTTGAATGCTTGATTTCCCTAACAAATACAAGATAGTGTGCCTAGGTTATTGATGTTTTTCTCACACTTCCCAAACATGTAGTTCAAGTGACAAAGTTCAAATGAGTGACAAGAATTACACCCAGAATTATTTAATGATTGCATGTGGCAATGGCTTTATTGTTGATTGAGTGAGCTATGGGACGTATGTGTCGCTTGATAATTAAGCCACTCATATAGGTGCACTGGCAAAGTACTGCTCTTTTTTTTAAAAAAGGACACTTAGGTAAGACTCCTTTTTGCCTAAGAGTCCATCCGGGTAGACCACCCTCTTACCTATTTCTCCCGCCAAATAACAGTGCTTACACTGATGCATTACATTTTGAAGCATATAGAAACCCAGTATAGCCTTCTTTGTTTGAAGAAGGTTGCAGCTGTCTATAGGCTACAGTAGCTACCTATCTGGTAAACTATAAGTCCATTTGTGATTTCAATTTTATATAAAAAAGGTTGAAGTTTGCAGAAAGAAGGAGAACAGATATATAATGCTGTCATCTGCATATTGCAGAAATTTGAATAAGCAATTACAATTCTAAAATCCTGCTTAGTTAAAGGGATGACAAATCTGTTTCGACTAAATTGGCTAAAATAGCCTTTGCTGCTTGCCAGACAATATCCAAGTCAGGAAAGTTTCCTAAAATTATTTTCCCTGTCTACATGTTTTCACATGCAAATCAACAAGCTTGATGTGCCTGCACAATTTGTTTGATAAATTAATTTATATAATTTAGGCATTACTTTGCAGTAACCCATTATTTTTAAAATGTTAAAAATTAAT